ATTTCTAGAGGCACATTATTGAAATGCCAGCGCTCATTACATTTTAGCTCACCCCTACGACGAAACACCACTATCTTGGTCTTAGATGTGTTGACTTGTAGGCCCCAGTACTGGCAGTACTCGTATAATTTGTCTAAACTGGCCTGCAAATCTTCAACAGAATGGCCAATAATTGCCATATCATCGGCTATAGCAAAAGATTAAACTGTCAAACATATGCTGGTAACTTTATCTGTACGGTTGAACTACTGAAAAAAAAAGAAAGAGAAAGAAATAGTTAATAAAGGCATCAAGGTGCTTCAGGGTTCTAGCAATTTTTCAGACTTTTATTGATCTGTAGATATAGACGAATGTCTCGTAATATAATTAATAAAGGGAAGAAGAGCAACTCTCGCTTTCTTTGGATACATTTCGAGGTTCCCTCTTTTAGAATATGTTTTGTCAAGTGCTAGTTATCCTTTTAGTAATATATTGTGATTATTTGAAGAAAAGACTACTATAACATCACACGTATGATCACCAGGAACTGCTGGTTTAGAGAAAATACTTATTATATTAAATATCATGTTAATTAATACCTTATTTTATTAAATATTATCATTTTTTGTCAATTCTCTACTCTTATATATAATTGTACAAAATCATTCCTTAACAAAGATTTCACAAAAGTATTAAATAAAATAATTAAATAAAATTTTGAAAAAAAAAACAACAAAAAAAAAAAAACCTAACAGTATGAATTTATACCATCATATCCAAATACTTGCACTTCGCAAAGGTGAAGAAAGTTTTGCTTTTGAAGCATAACTTTAACATAGCGTGCCTTTTCGTCGTCGGTAAAAGTAAAAGAATGAATATCATTGATTTGCCCCGAGACTTCCTTTACGAATTGTCATGGTATCCAAGGTTGCACCAAATAACAAATCCAGATCAGATGCTCGATTTGCTGAATATTGAAAAAAAAGAAAATAAAAATAGAAGAAAAAATAATTATAATAAAAAAATCCATATTGATCATGCGCGCATTTCTTTGTGTTTAATTGAGAAAACTAGAAATATTGTGTTATAAGTAAGAATGTATTTTTATGTTCTATTTATGATTATAAGACAAATTCCTTGATAACTTTATTCTATTGTTTTTGTTACAGTACTATTGATATATGGACAAAACCTGATTTTTGCATAAAGCACTGTTTCTGAAAATGAGAAATAACATTTTGTTTCTGAAAACATCTTACCGTTTACAGTAAACAATCTATTATACAAAACCACTCTAGTGATTCCATTTATTTCTGTAAGGTCAACCTGCCACCAAGCGTATAGATCTAATTCAGTATGGAAACATGAGCCTGCCTCAAAACTCTGATTAACATTACCGTCAACACCTTTATCTGATGTGTTTGCTTCATCAAAGGTACTTGACATGCTTGTTGGTTTCCCCTTGCAACATTTGATACATCATCTGAATTATAATATAATTATTGAAAATCATAATAAAAAATGCAGAAAGAAAAACAGAAAATAAATAAATAAAAAATATACAACATTAAACATGACATTAAACCCTTTATCAGATTGACACAGTTTTAATTATCTTGAGTAACACAAAAGAATAATAAAAAAGAACATTAATTGATAGAAACTTTGGTCTTTTGCATTGATACATGGTATATTTTTAGATATTTTGATATAACTATATTCTTTAGATCAAGACTATTGGTATACAAGAATAAACTGGCTTTATTTGTCATGAACAATTTGCTCAGAAATACACTAGTACAATCGTGTTATGTTTGGTTTCGCATTTCAATTCAAAATGTCACGAAAGAATAATTAAAGATTCTTAAGACATTAATTGATACCAACCTCTATATAAAGGCATCATAATTTATTTAGATATTCACATTTTTTTTGTTTTATCGTGTATTCAATAATGAACCAATCAAATGCCAACTGCTGTTATGAAATATGTACTCACGTATACAAGTATCCATACTATTGTCCCAATGTCCGTCAGGGAAACAGACCAAATTATCATCTGTACTATTTAGTTTGTATCCAATATCACATATATATTCCCTTCGTGCCCCAACTTCATTTAAATTTCCTAAAATCATTCCATGTAGAATAAATGTCTTAAAGGAACATTCTGTAAAGGGAAACCAATATATAAAAATCAAATTAGTAGTACTTTGTAGCAAATATAACAATCATAATATAATATATATAAGTGACATTATGCCAATCCAAGTGAAAATGGTGGATGCACTTATAAAAGTCAAAATTACTTTAAATTTTGCCATAATTGTGTTCGATTTCCATACATATATCTATGCAAAAATAATAGATAATCCGAAAAATTCAAAACAAATCTCATTCGGAACGCCTCGGTAACGTTAATTTTTCCAAACAGTGGAACAATCTTTATATAATTTAAGTAGTTACTTTTTTTAGTGTTTAAAAAAACTTTCATTATCAGTTATTGGTCAATCACCATAAATATATAACAGTCATTTGAAATATATGAAAAATTTAACTCTTCTCAACTAAACAGTTAAGAATTGCGCATAATGTCAAGAAATGTCACTTTAAATGATACAGCAATAAAAATAGCAAGAGAGACCAAATTCTGAATCAAAACCGTTTTCTTCATTTTTTTGTTCTCCACTTTTTCCTTATTTATCAAATAGATAAAAATAAATAATTTGACTTATTACCACAATGCATATGAATTTTAAAAAATAATTTAGCCAATAACCTTCCGAATTCAAAACCCAATAGAAAACAAAATACAGTGTATGTTGATAACATAACCATGGCCCACCTGTTGATTCACATGTTTTGCTGCTTGGCACACATGTCTTGTCTCCGTCACAAACTGGACAAGGTAGCTACCAAATATGAATGATGGTACAAATTTCATATGATGTGGTATTGAGAATTCAAAAAGCCTTTTGTTCTTTTATAAATAGCATGAATAGCATGTACTCTCTTATTACCTAATATTTTGATTTTGGTAATCTTAATTTGCTCAGGTGTACTCTTTAATGGGAGAAAATCTAACTGTCAGGATGACAAAGGGAAATAAAACACAAATGTTGTTTTTTTAATTAACCACATTTTAAATGAACTAAGTTTTCATTTACACTTAGCTAAAAGTTTCATAAAACTAAACAACTTGACAATATATGACAATCACTTTAATAGAAATTGCTCCCATTTAACCAAAAATATGAAAATCAGGAAAAACAAGTCGAATAGAAGATTTAAGCTATAAACTAATAATTCTGAATAGTAGCAATCAATTTATCTTGTTGTATAAATTGTTATCTACGATCGTATATCTTCATCCTACGCCTTATTTAATTAGATATATTATTAATATTTATTTATTATTATTTTCATTATCATTATTGTTATTATTAATTATTATTATTGTTATTATTATTATTACTATGTATTATTATTATTATATTTTTATTATTTTATATTTTCATTATTATTATTAGTATTATTAGTAGTAGTAGTACCTGCAGCAGCAGCAGCAGCAGCAGCAGCAGTAGTAGTAGTAGTAGTATCATTATTAGTATTATTATTATGTGCCTTTACATGAAATTTGTTGAACTATTACAAAAACACAGTCGCGTTGTGAAAAGAAAACAAGAGAGTCTTATGTTATTTTTGCTTAAATAAACAATATAAGTGTTTTAAATTCTACGAAGTGATATTACATCTTATCCGCCTTAAATGTCAAGTCAGCTGTACATTACGGAATCTACAAAATGCATATACCATTTTAACTGCTTAACATAAAATGAAAGTTTGCTAATGACTACAAAACAAATAAAAAAATAATTCTATTCTTATTCTTTTATTCTTAAATGCCTTTTACTTTTATTTCCCTAGAAATTGCAAACACATTCATCACGCGTTGTGAGATTGATTTTGACGGAGGAAATTCTATATTTATTGTTTAATTTAATTAAAAAAAACATGTTTTGATATGGACTACCCACTTATTACAGGAAAACGTTAGGTAGTTCGTAAGTGACCATTTATGTTTCATGCGATTTTTAGAATTTAAAATTAGAGAGCAAAGAAGAATGTCTACCTTTTCGATTAACAAATCTGTTTTCAAAATTTCTACACAACTCCTTTTTACCCTGTCAGTTATACTTCCGTCAGAGGAATACAAATCGCAAGTTTTAAAGATTTGCCTATAATTCAAAGCTGCACAAGCTTTTCGCAACCCACATGCCATAGCACATTCAGAAAGTGGCACATTTTGCAATGTTTCAATGTTGTTAGTTTCTCCTCGGCATTTGTTTCTAAATTTGATTGTACCGTCACAAAGATATAACCAAACAAACACGCCATCTTTCAACACTGAATAAACATTTTATCCAGAGGTATCCTGATATTATATATATATATATGTATTTCTTCTGTTTCATTTTAAATCGCACAACTTACGCAGGATGACCGGATATATAGCATTTCTTTTTCTTGCGTTAGTTGTTCTCTTTCATCAGTAAAATGAAAAATCGTACATAATTGATAGAAGAATTTACTAAAGAAAAGAACTACCGTTATACACATAAAAACAATCAAAAACAAAAAAAAACCCACAACGACACACACAAAAAAACCTATATTTCGGTTTCAATGCATTTCACTTTAAATATTTTACTATGAGTGGTTTTTCAATTGGATATATTCTATAGCTATCAGTTAATGACTCGTGTCAACTTTTATGTTAATAGCTTTAAAAGAAGTTTTGACAGCATGTATTTGTAAATTTGTTCAACGGCAATAGCAATGATATTTTACTGCTTGTCATTATATGAAGGGTCATGAAACAAAAATAAATTCAAATGTAATAATAAAAATAACCTCTGATGTAAGATAGTTTCAAATAGGGTCCTGCTTCTCAAATAATTGTTTCATCATAAATTACAATTCAAATTTCATCATTTTCATGTGTCACAGGGTAGAATAAAGACTACAACTCCTAGCGTAGGGTCGTCAATTTAATTGTAAAATATACGAAGAAAAAGACTTAAAACATAAAAACACGATTAACATAAAAGTCAATTAAAACATACATAAAATTAAGCAATACACCAATTGAGAGATGCAAATAAGACTTACTTTAGTAAATTAATTAAATGAAAATAATCTTATCACAGCGTCTCAATACAAAAAGAAAATAGCTTAATAATAAGTAATTCCCTTTCAAAGATTTTATTTAATAAACTTTTAGAATTAATTCAAATAGAATTGTGTATATTAAAAACAGAATGCATAAAGAAAGCCAAGCAACAATGTTGCAGGCTCGGGTTGACTAAGCCCGTTCATGGACACAGGAAATGTTATATCATATGTTCAATATTAAACATGATAGAGAAAAAAATGCAGGGATTTAAATTCCATCAATAAATTAAACTATGATCCCATTTCTTGCTGACGTGTTGTATTGTCGTTTCAATAGGTATGCTTTCGTATCAACATTTCAGAGATGTTTTCCAAAGTTAATTAACATATAACAACGACCATACACGATCGTTTTATTGTTATATCATTTCAATAGATACCAACAAATATGAGATTAACGATCAACAAGGGACAGTAGCAACGCCAAAAAGCAACGGCAACCAAAAGGAAATCATAATGAAACAAATATGAGATGTAAACTTTTTTTCATAGTCTGAACAAAACATGGCAAAGAAAAATTAAGTTATAAATTCTAAAATAAGATGACAATGTAAAATATCAATGCCTTCTACAAGCTGGGTAGATATCACTGGAATTTCTTCTACTCGTATGATATATTTACTTATCCAGTGAGTTGACAGCATCATGTTGTAGATAACATTATGAAACTACAATAGATCTATATCATATTAAGCTAAAATAATATGGCTCATAAGGAGAATGTAAATTTTGATTTGCAAAGAAACAAACTAATTTTGGGATACAGGTGTGGTGTATCAATACCAATGTTAGATACAGTTGACTGTCAATAAGTCAAAATCGCCTCACTCAAAATTCCGCATAAGAAAAAGAATTTCTATTTCTATTCAGATTGCCCTCTTTTTTGTACTTAACTCCGTCCAACATATTTTGTGAAATGCCCAGTCCTTGAAATTCGAGTTACCAAGAGTCAACTGTATTAAAAGATAACAATAAGGATCAATTTGTTAAGCGTGCATATCTCATTAATCTTGTTCTTCAAAATGCAATATGCATGTACATCCTATTTCAAGTTCACTTTCTTTAGTAGGCATCGAATAACAATAAATCTGTAAGAAAACCGCTTGTGCAAATATTTCAACTTTCAATAAAATTATCATTGATGCTTTACCAACGAGTGCAATAATTTAGTCTTGTTCCGTTCCAAATGTGTAAACTGTTGAAATTGGCGAACGTGTATTATAACTGCTCCAGATTGTCTTTTGATTTGAAATGTAAGTTAACTGAAAGACGAACAAATGAATAAACATTTTCGTTAATTTTGTTTTTACAAAAATCTAAACTGTCTACATATTAACTTAATTTAATACTTAAATCCATGAAAATGATTGCAGATAACTAACTTGCAAAACCAAACACTTGTACTTCACAAAGATGTAGGGGGTTTTGTCTTCTAAGCATCACTTGAACATATCGTGCTTCTTTACTTTCAGGGAAGTTAAACGTATGGATGTCCTCAATCTGACCATCGACTTGCCTCACAATGTACATATTGTTCTCCGTCGTTCCAAACATCAAATCCAAATCTGAAGCTCGTTCCTCTGTAAATTACCAGATTATTTTAGACAATGTATTAGCAAGCTTTTAAAATTACATGTAAACGTATTTTAAAAAAAAGTCTTACCAGAACCAACGTGATTATAGACTGCACGGGATCAAACTATATGGGTTAATAAAAAAAGATATCGAAACAAATGGATAAGTAACTTACTGCAATCATCCAAGCGGTTGTACAAAACTACTCTAAAGCAGCGATAAATCTTTCCAAGATCTATCCGCCACCACGAATGAACGTCATTTTTTGTATGAAAGCAGGAGCGACCTGACCATAATTGATTTGAATTGCCGTCTACACCCATCGACCCATTGTAGCCTTGGTAAACGCTAGACATGTATGTCCTTCTCCCAATAGCAACATTTGTCACATCGGCTAAATAGATCAAAATATTGAGAAAAAAATGAATATTGCCGTTTATTGAAATGACATAAAACATTTAATCAACGGATCTATTGCTTTCTATAGATTTCAGCCTTCTATAGCTGACATTCTGTTATTTGTGCTATTTGTGTTATTTGAATAGCTTCAAACAGTAGCTCTATAAATAAAAATTTCAAATATGTATTACACTTTTTAATAATTGCAAAAGTGTCATATATTTGAAAGGTTATATAATATTTATAATTATAAATAGTTATATTGTCCTTTGAATCTACGAAAAACACTCGAAAACTAACAAATGTATGAATCTACATACTTGAGCATTGATTGTCGGTTATATTCCAGATTCCATCATAGAGGCATTCTATTTCATCAATAATCGTGTTTCCGTCGTTACATGTAAGTTGCATACGATTCCCGACTTTCCTTATAATTCCACTGACAATACCATATTCCAGATCTTTAACTGGACACTCTGGTACATAAAGAATAAAACATTTATATTAAGTCAAGTTTTGTCAATTTTGGTTAAACTAAATAAATTTTATATTAATATTCCGAGCGGTTCTTATAATTATTGCTTAAGAATTACTGTGAAGAATTGTCTAAGACTCGCCCTTCTGGACTTGCAGCACTGGAAGGACTTTCGCCAGTATTGTATCTGCTGAACAGTTTGCAAATTTAGTATTGGACTTGCTGCGGTCCATGGACTTGTTGCGTTCTTAGCATTAGCTGCACTGCCTGGACGCCACAATCTAGACTTGCTACGCTATTTGGACTTGTTGCAATATTGGATTTGCTTCCGAATATAGACTGTTTAACAACCTTGACTTGCTGTGTTCGTTTGACCTACTGGACAACCTAGATTTGTTGCAGTATAAGACTTAATGCACAACATAGATTTGTTACAGTACAAGACTTAAAGCACAACATAGACTTGTTGCAAAGCCACGACTTGCTGTGCAACTTAGACTTGCTGGGCTCCATTGTCTTGCTGCGCAACCTTTACGGCTTTTCCTAAGACTTTTTCTCCCTTCCTGGACATCTCTTAGAGTTGCTTCTTTTCAGGGAAACAAATCGGCAAGCATTAATTCTGGAAATCGGAGTTGTAAACGCTCATTTTTTACTAAAAATCAAACCGTTTTCTTGACTTGTTGCGATTTTTGCTTCCTTCATTTGACCGGTAAGTTAGTCACTAAAAAAGTGTTTGTTTTCTGAAAAATAAGCTTTTTGACAATATTGAGTCAGAATAGTTTTTTTTAAACGTTGAAGATAGTTAAGCGTGACGTCATTGTTGTGGCTGACGAACTTTTTGTTCTATTTTTTTATGTTTTTTAAGTTTGGTGATTTTAGTATTCTCAATTTAATATTGTATTCGCAAAAATAATTTTGCATTTTGTAAATTGCTGCTTATGATTATCTCCGCGAAAAAGTTACTTGAAACGAATTTGCAAACATTTTATTTAACTCAACCGCTTATGGTGTACTATGTTGTTGTATGCACAGCTTTTACCTCTGCTTAAATTATTAACATTTTAAGATAAAATTTCCCATTGCAAAATAGAGTACTATTTTAAAGTACTGTAAAAATAATGAATTATTTACAGATGGAAAAACACACAAAACGCATTATTTACAGTTCGCATAAAGAATGAATGTAATGCTACTCGTTAATCAATAAGGTGTTCTGGTATACAATTCTGAAACGGCAAGACTTTTATATGGAAATAGCATGGCTTAGGGCGGCCTCCAGGGTGTGTTACTGTACAGAAAATGATGGAGACCGTAAGTCAGTCGCTATGATTGCTAGAAGTGCCTAATAAATTGTCTCCGTGAAAAGCCATCCGGTTTCTAGGAATAAAGTACTGTTTAACCACTCTTAAGATAATCATGTGTGCTTTTTGAATCTTATTTTTTTATTATTTATTAATGATTTGCAGGCTTCCTCTGATCCTGTTTCTAAATTCAATTTTACTTGGTTTTACCCAATGTTTTTCACGTAAAGGACAGACGTATTTTATTTCTTTGGGAGCACCTTCCCCTTTCCATGGACTAGCACGTACGTAACGCATTGTACATTCCGTTTTATTCACCGAATGTTTTTGAATTCAATTTTTTTCCCTCTGATCCTGTTTCTAAATTCAATTTTACTTGGTTTTACCCATTGTTTTTCCCGTTAAGGACAAACTTATTTTATTCTTTGGGAGCACCTTCCCCTTTTCATGGACTAGCACGTACGTAACGCATTGTACACTCCGTAATATTCACCAAATGTTTTTGAATTCAAAATTGTATCACTTATTTTAAAATGTTGAATTCGATTTAAGCCGGCACAAGTGGCATGGCGGCATGGCTTGCAGTTTTTGTATCTTCCATGTACTAACTTTATCAAACCTAGCCTGCAACTTTTTTCGATAGTGAAATTTTTGACGTTCTTTAGGGATGTTCTATTTCCCTCTATTTATTAACCACATCATTGTTGTTTGTGGATAAGAAATCATTCATTCATACCTCTAACTGACAATGTTTTCTGAGGCGCTAACATGGGTTATTTCACTCTTTTGGCGCCTTTGAAAAGTAAAAAAATGATATAAACGACGAGAACACGACCTATTTTTAGTTCTTTCTGTTAACTTTTCAGGAAGGATAAAAAAATCTAAGGAAGGAAAACTTTTATTCACCTATTAAACGTGAAAATTCTCCAGAGGAAGTTGTCATTGATTACCACATTAAAAAAGTAAAATTACAATCCCATTTCGACTTTTGGTATTATTTTGTGTCCATTTTTAACATATCTAACATCTAAACACGCATGAATAATGTGTCTCATAGTGAGTAATGCCTCTTCTGACTGCAGGGTGGCCGTATATGGTCTGCCTGCAGGGTTGCCTTTTATGGCATGACTGCAGGGTGGCCGTATATGGTCTGCCTGCAGGGTTGCCTTTTATGGTATGACTGCAGGGTGGCCGTATATGGTTAAGACTTATAAATTGCAGCCACCATTAGTTGTGATGGGCGATTTAATAAGTTCCAAATACTGCAGTCTATGCATCGTTTAAATCCAGCATGTGAGGTGGTTTTGATAGCTTTGTTGCTTTTAAGTTTGTATTACCCGAGGCTAGTTAAAATCTTCCATTATGAGCCGGCATGACCGTAACTGTGTTTTAATTATGTGTTACAGCATACCAGAATAAAGTACTGTACGATGTCATATAACATAGCACTAATACGACAGCAATTTCTAGAAATGGATAAGAGTAGATTTTATACTAAAATTGGTTTGAAAGAGTTGCATGATATTGTTTTATTGAATTTGGTATTGAATTATTACGAATATAAAATTCTATTGATCATATGTCCACAATAAGAACGGTTAACAATTTAACAAGAGCCATTCTTCGTTGATGCAGCTATAATGTAACGCTAACAAGCCTAACATTAGCCTGTTTAACGCTATGCTAGTATAGAAGGCAAGTGTCGTCACGTCAAAATATTAATACGATAGATAAATATTACTTTATCCAATGGCTTTATTACATTCCCGTGCATTTATTTATATATATATAAGTAAATATAAAAAGTACTTTATCACTTTATCTTGCGACTCTGTAAAACGGTCATACATGAGAACACCGTTTTCCCCATGCACATAATTTGACATGACGTCATTTGCGCTGCACTAGCATAGCATAATGGTGAGCTTACTGTTAAAGTTACAATATATGTGTGCCAGTGAAATGGTGATACTGTTTTACTATAAGTAGTTCTATTTTTTGGTAGTTTGATAATAAGACTGCATTTTTGTTGCTTCATTACTAGATTTATTGAACTCTTTGGCAAAAATTTACTTTCAATTAACTCGATAAATAAAATTAGTATTGAACAATAATTCATTTAATATCCTCTATACACGTAACATATTCAGTAGTAAAATAAATATAAATTTATCACAATATTAAAACGGTTTTACCTGTGGTTTCACATTTCCCTTTTTCAGGATTACATCTCTGACCAGAAGTACACTCTGGACAAGGTTTCTGTTGAAAGATATAATACATTTTATTTTATGCTTTTGAGTGGATTACTGATTTATCAATGAAAATTATATTGGATAATTTCATAGTGAACTTTTAAAATATAATTTCACACTGTTCAATGACGAGACTAGTTTTTAAAGTTTTTCCCATTTGGTACTTAAGTTTAAATTTTGCTGACAATTCTGACATTGTCAGGGCTGTTTAAGAGGAAAGCAAATAAGTTATAATAATAAAAATCTTTTAAATAACCAATCACCAAATATTGTCTATAAATTTTTTGTTTCATTTTTTACAGTCTGAAAGATACACTTCCT